TCCCTGAGCTGTGATTGGCTCTTAACGATCTTTTCAAAAGTTAAAATTTGTGGCTTTCATAATTAACTAATAATATCCAATCGATATATAAGAAGAAAGTCGAAAACCTCTAGTCGCATAATCAGTTGAGACATTTTAATAATCAGTATTTTCTAAAAAGGTAGATGATGTTTGAAGAAATACAAAAATATATATCTAAATCTTTTAAAATTAGCAACTAAAACTTTTTTTTTTATTTGCGTGCGTACAAAACTCAAGAGTAAAGATGTCACAATCTTTGACTAATAAAGAGAAGCCAAAAGCCAGAGAACTTCCCTGCCTATTTAGTTACATAGTTAGCAAATATAATGAACTCGGCTTAAGATCTTGTAAAACGAAGGAATCACAGACCTGGAGGCATGCTGATACTTCAGAAATGACTAAACAGCTTAGATTATATGAAGATTTTATGCCTGAATTAAAACTTTACTTGAATCCTCATGCAATTTGTGAAAAACACTATAATCAAGTTATATCTACTAATCATTTTTATCGGCATCTTTTAGATAACCCTAATTCCAGTAATCCTATTTCTATTAACGATTCTAATATCTGCAAAGAAGAGTATAAACAAGCGATTGCTGAATTGCAGCAAAAACTAGAAGAACAAAGAAGCAACGAATATATAGTGATGTCAAATTTACAATGGCAGATAGAAGATAGAGAGCAGATTATATCAGAGATGAGGTTGGAATTCATGATTGCAATAATGTTATAGATCATCTAAATAATTTATTTTAAAGGCAACATGGTATAACTGAGCAACTTTTCCAACAATGGGATTCACGGTATTGTGATCAGGATAAGCACATACAAGCAGTAACCGACATTGCACTAATTGAATAAGAATCTTTATATAGGGATATTGAGGCTTTAATTAGAGATAATCATAGGTTTTCTTTGGAAAACCTACTTAACTATAACCCCCATGTGTGGCTAAGTAAACGCAATCAGGTTCTTGTAAAATTTATTGAAACACTAACATATAATAATTCCAACACAGGTTCTGAAAGTGCCGAGAAAATTTACAAAAGGGCTACGGCTGTTGATTTAGTGTATGGATCCAGACATGGAAAATATGTATTGGAAATGAACCTCATATCATTAGCAATTAAATATTCCATTGCAAGATCAAAAACTGTTATTAACATCGATAGCCATATCACAAATTCGGGAAGTTATTTTCGTTTCCAGAACTGGTTAGATGAATTGTCAGAAAAAGAAGAAGCTCTACCGGAAGGCCTTTTATTTTTAGCTTTGACAATGAACAAAGAGGTCAGAAAAATTATCTTGATCGTGGACTCAATACAGTGATATTTCATATTGTTACTAGCTTTGTTGCTTTTAATATAGAATCACAAAATTATATTCAACACACTAAAATGCCTTGGGTATCGAGTACTCTTAATAGGGCGCAATACAAGAGTCTTTTCGAAACTACGCCTAAAATGCAAGAAGCTTTAGACAAAGAGCTACATGCTTATCTTTTTGAAATTCTTAATTTATTATGTGAAGAAAAATTATCTTTAACTAATAAAGTTGATGTTATTTTATCTAATTTAGGCTTGAATACTCGTTGCAGCAAACAATATCCTAATTGTAAAAAAAAGGATATTGACAACAGAAAGCAAACTTGCCTGGATTGTAAATCTCGTTTGCTCACATTAGCAGAAACGTCTAGACAGCATGCTGAATTAGAAGAAGACACGATAAACCAGTCAATAACTTTTAGACCATATAATATTGAAAAAAAAGCTCAACAATCTTCTATGCCAAGGATTAGTATTACATGCCGACGAAGAAGTTAACATTCCAGAAATTTTTGTTCCCGACCCCCTTGATGTTAATTCTAATACTACTGCAAATATTGAAAAGATTTTTCTTCATATTAAAAAAATTTCAGGTATTAGCAGTGAGATACGCAAATGGGTGGTTGTAACATGTGATAGCATTTCATATCATCGTGCAGCAAAAATAAAAAAGAAATATCTGTAGCTAATTCTCGTTTCTGGACCATTGCACGAGGAAATGAATATGCTTTGTGCATATGTGGAATTAAATTGGTAAAAACTTAACATTGTTTTTAAATACTTTATTTTTTTTATTTTTTTTTTTTTTATATAACCCTATTATTTAATAGGGATATCGATCTCAAACAATTCGCAAGATGTCAAGGGTATAAAACTGAAAATCAACTAGCTTATTTTAAGAAATGCCATGATCATCATAAATTATAGGACTCGGTCTGCAACATTTATTGCCAAGCTATGGCTATGAAGCTGATGTGGCCATATGTTAAATGCCATCCAAATTCATTAGTAGAAGGGTACTTGGTCTGGGCAAAAGGGCAAACGGATCCTCGTTATCAAATAAAATTTGAACAGGTGAGCATTATTTTTATTTTTATTGGGTTACCATGATAAATATCATAAAATTTATAAATTTTATGTTATTAA